TGCCCATCTGAACCCTAACCCGGAAAGATACAACTTGGTTACCACCTGGTGGACCTCCTTGCCAGTAACTCAAACATCACGGCATTTTTCCTTCTCTCTTGCATGTTTGTCTTCAGTCAACTGCTGAGATTTACAGCTTGCCTTCCCTGGATTATTTTTCTTTTAGACTCTAATAAAAATTGTCCTCCAGCTTCAAAAAATAAGTAAATGCAAAACTCAGTAAGAAAAGGAAGGGGTAAAAGGCAGACACGGTTACAGAAACCTTTATCCTAGCACTGAGAAAGCAGAGATAAAGTCGGATGTGATGGTGTGGTGCATATCTTTAATCCCAGGATTTGGGAGGCAGAGGCCAGCCTGTATAGTGAGCTCCAGGATAGTCAGGACTACATAATAGAAAGTTCCTGTCTCAAAACACACACACACACAAAGCAAGCAAGCAAGCACACAGAAACAAGTGAATCACTTGAGCCAGGGCTATACACAGTGAGATCTCATCTCAGAAAAAAAGAAAGGGAGGAGAGTGGGAGGCAGGAAGGGAGGAAAGGCACAAGAGCCTGTGTCCTTCTCCTCTCATCAGCTCTTGAACTATTATTGATTCGTCAGAGATTTTTCCTGATAGCCTAGGGCCATCCCTACTCTACCTTGAATTATTATAACCTGCTGGGACCACTCCACTTTCTACTTGGCCTGACTATGTTTTTCAATTGATAACATATAGTTGGAAGCATCAGGCACAGAATCCCTGAGAGGTGGGGTGGGGGTAGAGGTTTACCTATCCTGAGGTCTTTCTGACCATGAGGACCTAACACCAGTGTTGGCCCTACAAGTCCATCAAAGTACAAGGTGCTAGACAGAGCAGTGGTTCTCAACTTTCCTAATTCTGTGACCTTTCAACACAGTTCCTCATGTTGTGTTGAGCACCAACCATGAAATTATTTTTTGTTACTTCATAATTGTAATTTGTTACTGTTATGAATCATAATATCATTATTTGTGCTTTCCAATGGTCTTAGGCAACCCCTGTGAAAGGGTCATTAGATCCCCAAAGGGGTGGCTGAGAACCATTATGCTAGAGGAACAGCTTATGACACATGGATTATCATCTCAAATGCGGCATCCTTTGACACACACAGGGGACACGTGAAACACCTACTTAGAAAAGATGACCATCAGCTTCCTCCGGCTTCTTCTTGGCTCTGAGTCTTCATCAAACCCATCCATGTCCTTCCCCAGGAAAACTTCCTGGTGGAAGTCCTTGTTCAGGTGTCCATCCATCTCCAGTTTCACCCCATTCAAATGGTCTGGGGGTAAGATCTCATTTTCCTCCCTGTTGGTCGCTCTCTCCCGGGTAGATGAGTGGTTGGCTGGTCTAGCAGCTGCATCCATCAGGAGGACAAGGCCCAAGACCCAGAGGCCATGAGCAGCCAGACCACAGAGGGAACTCTGCCTGGACGTCATTGCCACCAGTCAGACCATGGGACTCCTGCAAGATGTGAACCAGAAGTAGCAGTAAGGAAGAAAGGGAAACCACAGATCAAACTAGAGCCTGGGATCCTACGAAAGTTCTGGGTTACTAGCACTGCCAAGAAAGCTGAAAGCTGAGGGCAGGCTCAACCTGACAGTCTACAAAGACAAACCAGGCCAGGTAGTAATGACACATCCCAGCACTTGGTGGCTCTCTCTATGAGTTTGAGGTCGGCCTGGTTTACAGATCAAGTTTCAGGACAGCCAGGGCTACAGAGAGTATATTTATTTTATAACATGATTTAATAATCAGGATCAACCACAGATTCAAGCAGGATATGATGGCATTCACCTTCAATCCCAGAACACAGGAGGTAGTCACAGGCAGAACTTTATGAGTTCAAGGCCAGTCTGGCCTAGAGTGTAAGCTCTGAGCTAGCTATGGATAAACAAAAAGATTCTGCCTCAAAAAAACCAAACAAAATCCATGCATATGGAGCTGGTACTGGTAGCTCAGTGATAAGTCCTGGGGGTTGATCCCCAGCACCACAGAAAAAGATGAAGAGGGAAAAAGGAAAAAAGAAAGGCAACAGGTGGTATTTTTACTTTTTAAAAAGAAACTGGAGGAATGTGACAGGAATGTTCTTTGGGCCACCAACCAACTCACAAATAAAGACACAGAGACTTATTATCAATTAAGAATGCTCAGCCTTAGTTTAGGCTTCTCCCACTAGCCCTTTTTAACTTATTTTAACTTGTTTCTATTCATCTACATGTTGGCTCAGGGCTTTTTACCTTTCTTTCATTCTGTAGGTCCAACTTCGCTGCTTCCTCTGTGTCTGTCTAGCTGGCCCCTGGCATCTCCCTGTTCTCTCTCTCTTTCTCCTCCATCCTAAATGCCTCCTCCTAATTCATTTCCCTGCCTGGAAGTTCCACCTATACTTCCTCCCTTGCTATTGGCCATTCAGTTTCTTATTAGACCAATCAAGTGCCTTAGGCAGGCAAGGTAAAACAGCAACACATCTTTACATAATTAAACAAATATTCAGCAACAGAGGAAGGCACGTGGCCAGGCTGAAGTCCCAACTCAAAGTTGTCACCACTTCCAGATGCTGATCTATCCAGTACGCCACCTCGACATACCAACAGTACAGCCTGCCAACAACACAGCAAAGCAAAACTGACCTCCTCGCTCCCTGGTTACTATTACAATGTTTAGTAGATGACTGTGGTCCCGCACTCTCCAGAGCTTGGTTAAGTCTTCTGACCTCTGTGTGTTTGTTTCTCACTAATCGCCCCCCACTTTGCACCTCAGTGTTTTGTGTGGAGTGGGAGCACACACTGTGTGCTGAACAACTGAAAAGTAGTCATCAGCAAACACCAACCCAACAGAGACTACACACATACATCCACATGTGTGCCTCCATCAACATGTATCTTCCCTCATGCTCACTAGGAAACGCTAAGAAAGCTGAAATGCCCGTGAAGTCTTATTTGACCAGAACACAGAAAACACATTTACTTCTTCCCAGTCTATCTTCCTGCCAATTTGCTGGCCTTCTGGGTGCAGTCTGGTCCCACTGATGTGCAGTAGCTGTCTCCCGTTCTGCCCCTGGAAAGGACCTTGTCAGACTTAGCTTCTTTTTCCCAACACTGCCAAGCTATTAGAACCTAAAAGACATTCAATCAATGTTGTCTTCAGAGACACTAAATACTACTCCAAAGCATAGAGTAAAACCATTGAAACAGTACTTATTAAAGACGTGCCCTGGGAAGTACAGCCTGCCAAGAGCCAGGAGCTAAAGGAGACTGATGTCACCCAAGGCAAGGAGCCCTGAGATATGGTTCTATTCCTGATGTCTCTACCCTTCTGGCCATAGAACCAGTGCAACTTCCTCCTGGTATTAATTATACTTTGCTCCTTGAAGAACAGAGTTCTCAATTCTAACTATTTTGATAAACTATGTGGAACAGTCACTTACATATCTTACATAAAAAGCAACCAAAAACAACCAGGACTCCATCAACTGACTTCCTCATACTGATTCAGTTTTTTCCTTGCCCATGCTAGGCAAGAGTCTGGACTACTACCCCACAATGGTTATCTATCTTAATGCAAAAGCTTGCTGCATAGTTATACAAATTGGGCAGCTGCTCTCTTCCTCCCCACCTAATCTGAAATCCCTAAATCAGGATTTCAAGGAGCTTCATCTTGCTCTCAGCATGTGGTCAACAGAGAAGCTACTAAGGCCTTCAGAGGTGACAAAGGTACCTCCTGACCTGCCATCAACCACAGTCCAGTGACATATTTATCAAAGTAAGTCACAACTGTTCTATTTTATGATTAGCTGTTAATCTCTGTCTGGGTCTAATTTATAAGTTAAATTTTGCTGTAACTATAAACCTGAGTTTCCGGTTTCAGGCTGTAGTTGGGGTAATATTTGTACTTCTTTGCCATCCTTACATTACATCTCTGGTGAAATCAGACATTTCTCTTTTTTTGTTTACTTGCTTTTGTTTTTGTTTGGAGACAGGGTCTCACTATTTAGCCTTGCTTGGCTAGGAACTTGCCAAGTAGGCTGGACTTGAAAGTGTTGCGCAAACTTCCTGCACGTTGGGATTACAGGCAAGAGGATCAAGAGTTCAAGACCAGCAGCCTCAGCTATGTGGTAAATAAGTTCCGGCCAATCTGACCCTGTCTCAAAACTCACAATAACAACAGCAAAAAGAAAAGAAATCAGAAGAAAAAAGGCCATCACAATCTAAAAACAACAACATAATGTAAAACAATCCAAAGGCTGTTAGAGGGCTGGTGTCTTGGCCCAGTTAGTAGAGTATTTGCCCCGCATTTGTAAGGTACTGGTTTCGATCTCCTCCAGCAACACAAAATAAGGATGCAAATAAAAATAAATAAAAGCTCTGTCAATTTAGGAACTGCACTCAATAGTACCAAACAGAACTACCACCAAAGCCGGGCCAGGTATGAAGGCCTTCAATTTCCAACTCGTAGTGCTAGAACTCATGGCGCACATTTTACCGAAGACAAAACCGGGATAGAGATGCTGGAACAAAGTTGAGGTCACAACGCCAGCCGGTAACACAGTCCGAGCCTCAGTCCCCCGCGGCTCCGTGAGTTCCGGAATAAGCACCCGGGCAAGAGAGCGGGCGCACTCTTAACAGGGCGACCGCGGGGTCAAGCGGGATCAGACAGAAAGCGACCCGAACGGTGGATGAGTGGCCTTCCAAGCCCGCCCCTCACAAAGCAGCTTCACAGACCCCTCACTCACCCCCGGCTTTCTGGAGCGCCGGGTCTAGGGAGCGCTACTGTGCGCCCGCAAAGTCTTACGCGGACCTAGACTCAGGCCGCCGCCATCTTTCTTCCGGGAAGGGGCGAGTAAGACAACCGGGAACCGTGAGAGCGGGCACAGCCACTAGAACGAATCTCGGAGGCGCCATCTTTATCATGGGCGGAAGGAGCCTCTGAGAACCAACCAATACAACTGGCGCGCGAGGTCACGTGCCACGCATCCTTGACCCAGGCCTCGCCTTCAACGCCGCCCCGGCGGTTAGATCCTGGGAATCCAGGCACCCAGTCAGCGGGTTTCTCGGGGCTCCTCCTACCGCTACCAGGACGAGCCCGCTTTGCGGGTCTCCGAGTAGCGCAGGCGCCTTCCAGCCTCTGCGCTTGCGCACTCGGCGACCTCCCGCCCGCACCATGAAGGTACTCCGGCGGGCTTGGCGGCACCGGGTGGTGCTGGCCCTGAGCGGTCTGGCGTTTTGCAGCACCACGCTGTTGTATTTGGCGCGCTGTGCATCCGAGGGCGAGACGCCCGCAGCCGCCGGAGCCACTCAGCCCCGCGCTAAGGCCTTCCTGGCGGTGTTAGTGGCTAGTGCGCCCCGCGCGGTGGAGCGTCGCAGCGCAGTGCGCAGCACGTGGCTGGCACAGGGGAGGCGCGGCGGCCCCAAGGACGTGTGGGCGCGCTTTGCTGTGGGCACCAGCGGCCTGGGCGCAGAGGAGCGGCGCACGCTGGAGCTCGAGCAAGCCCAGCACGGGGACCTGCTGCTGCTGCCCTCCCTGCGCGACGCCTACGAGAACCTAACGGCCAAGGTCCTGGCCATGTTGACTTGGCTGGACGAGCACGTAGACTTCGAGTTCGTGCTCAAGGCGGATGACGACTCCTTTGCGCGCCTGGACGCTCTACTGGCAGAGCTACGCGCACGTGAGCCTGCACGCCGCCGTCGCCTCTACTGGGGCTTCTTTTCTGGGCGCGGGCGAGTCAAGCCCGGAGGTCGCTGGCGAGAAGCTGCCTGGCAGCTCTGCGACTACTACCTGCCTTATGCCCTGGGCGGTGGATACATCCTCTCTTCGGACCTGGTGCATTACCTGCGCCTCAGCCGGGAATACCTGCGTGCATGGCACAGTGAAGATGTATCGCTGGGTGCCTGGCTAGCACCTGTGGATGTGCAGCGGGAACACGACCCGCGCTTCGACACAGAGTACAAATCACGGGGCTGCAGCAATCAATACCTGGTGACACACAAACAGAGCCCGGAGGACATGCTGGAGAAGCAACAGATGCTGCTTCATGAGGGCCGACTGTGCAAGCAAGAGGTGCAATTGCGCCTCTCCTATGTTTATGATTGGTCAGCGCCACCCTCCCAGTGCTGCCAGCGCAAGGAGGGCATTCCCTGATGTCATTGCATGTGCTAGGGCCTCTCCGGACCCAGGTCAAGCTGCCTGGACAATCTGACCCATTGTCTGGGGTGAACCTGGTTTATACAATTACTGTTGAGGTCTTGGAGCCTCAGTTCACTGATGGCCAGAGGCAGCTAACAACATCTAGTCCGTTCCGTGGAGGGTGTGCTCATTTGTGGTCTCATGTAAGGCCTGCCCAGGGGCATCTCGTATGGGTTTGTACATTGTATCTGCATCCCACACACACCTCCAGCCAGTGTAATGCCACCTATCAGTCATCTGGGGAGTGAGGGCAGGAGGCCTTCTCCCTTGATATTGCATTCCGTCCCTAATTGGCGCTGTGCAGCTCACTGCCCATCTTGAATGTACTGCACAGCCCTGTACACAGACTGACCTGCAGACTGTGTTGAATTCATCTGTGTATTGCCATCCAAGTGTTATTTGCCAAAATTGTCATTGTATTGTTTGGACAAAGTTCCATTCTGTTGTGTCTCATGTTTTTATCCTTTGTCATGTACAAGTCTGAGATTTGACTTGGTTTTCAAGTCAGCTAGCTTAGAGAGTATTTTGTCTCTGAAGATAGTTTGGTAAATGTAATTCAGTTTGTTTGAAAACTATTTATAAATATTGTAAATTTGTGTAGATAAGAATTTTAAGGTGAAAGTTGCGCTGTGGTGGTACACAACTTTAATCCCAGCACTCAGGAGGCAGAGGCAGGTGGGTCTCTTGAGTTCAAGGCCAGCCTGCTCTGCAGAGAGAGTTCCAAGGACAGCCAGGGCTACACAGAAAAACCCTGTCTCAACCTCCACACCACCCCCCCAAAAAATAATTTGAGAATATACAACTCTTAATTTTTTTAAACTTTTTAAGAAAAATACTTTAGTGTCAAAACTTGTATCTGTGTATTAATCTATTGACAGCCTGAGTGGCCAACCAGTTGCTGGGCATATTTAAAACAGAAGATTGTTTCAACTGTCCATTTCTCTTTCAGGTCTCCTAATAAGTCTCTTTTTGTTTTTTTTCTGAATAGACCACTTTTAAGGCTTTTCAGAGAGCATAAGCCTATGACTTTAAGGCACTCGGCAGCTAGGATGTCCGCATAAAATTTGTCTTTCAAATATGCTTGTCTTATTCACACAAACATTCCTAACAATATCATGTCAGGATATAAGTTAAACAGATGTCTCAGCTGGGTAGTGATGGTACAAGTCTTTAATCCCAGCACTTGGAAGGCAGAAGCAGGTGGATCTCTGGGAGTTCAAGGCCAATCTGGTCTGCCTATTGAGTTCCAGGACAGTTGGAGCTATACAGTGGGAACCTGTCTCAAACAAAACCCCAAAAAAAACAGACATCTCACCAAAGTGGGACCAGTTGTTTGGGCAGAAATGCTGCTGCAGGGTTCCACTGAGGAATCTCCAGTGCATACATTTTTGAAGCGTGCACGCTTGACCGCTGCCCACTGCCGTCCCGTCCTTCAGTTGTGGTAGACTGAGAGGATGGCACCAGTCAAAATCCAGATCCTGGAGCGCGTAAGCCAATGGCCAGCACTAACAGGCAGGCTTGAGGGGGCCAAGCATCAGTGGGCACTGAGGCCAGGACCACCGAGTCTCGAGTCCTCTTGGTGTCAACACAAACTTTAGAAGCCTTGTCACTTGCCATTGTGATCCTAGAGACCATTTCCAAACTTCTGATTTTTGTATCATTTCACTGGGTAGCCGCTTTGGACTAACAGTTCATTGGCATACCATCCCCACCTTGGGGTTAGCTCATTAGCATATCACGACCTGTCCTGAATTAGGCTTGTATGTGAGCTGTCAGGAGGCTTGCTTCTGGCACCTGGCTCTTATCAAAGCTATCTGGTGGCAAACTCAAATATATTATTTCAAGCTCCTATCTTTATAGTATGGGACCAAGTTTTGAGGCCTGTAAGTGTCAGATTAGGAGGCCTAATACACGTTCTGTGGTGCTCCTGAAGAAGGGATGAGCTGGCCTGTCTTAGAGTCTGTGAGATCCATAGGGAGTGGCACTATGAGGAGATGTGGCCTTGTTGGAGAAGGTGTGGCTTTGTTGGAGAAGGTGTGGCTTTGTTGGAGGAGGTGTGTCTCTGGGGGGGGTGGACTTTGAGATTTCAGAAGTTCAAGCCCTTCACTTCCTGCTGCCTGCAGATCAAGATGTAGAACCCTCAGCTACCTTTCCAGCACCGTGTCTACCTGCATGTCACCATGCTTCCTGTCATGATGATAATGAACTAAACCTCTTAACTGTAAGCCAGCGCCAGTCAAATGCTTTCCTTTATAAGAGCTGCTGTGGTCATGACATCTCTTCACAGCAGTAAAACCCTTAAGACATCCTAACAAGACCAGTGGCTTTCCAGAGATGTTGAGAGCAGGACCAAGACTCATACCAACCATTTTCTCATGGGATGTTTCACCTGAACTTGGAGTTGCTTGAGGAATGGTTAAATCTGTGTCCTTCAGGTGAAGAAATGAGCTTGAAGGGCCATGTGGCCATAGGCAGCCAGGACCCAGATTCAGTGCTCCAGACGACTGCACAGAAGACATGACACAGGTCCCAAAATAAAGGTAAAAAGTCTATAGACGTCCACAATTTATGTAGGCTGTAGAGGTGAGTCAGTCAATAAAGTGCTTGCCACATAATTATGAAAACCAGAGTTTGACCGCTACCCTGGCACTCATATGAAAAGCCAGGTGTAGTTGTGGGCTTGTAACCCAATATGAGGGGAGGCAGAAATAAGTGTTCCTGAGTCTTACTGAACAGCCAGGCTACAAGTGATCCCTAGGTACCAGTATCAGACCCTCTCTCAAAACCAAAACAAGGTAGCCAGCTCCTGAGAAATACTCAAAGTTGACCTCTCTTTAGGTTCCATGTGTATGTGCGTGTGCGCGTGCGCACGCGCGCACGCACACACACACACACACATACACACACTTTTTTGTTAACTCTTCAGGGTGTTGTGTGATACTAGTCCAAGAAGACAGACATCACTTGTTACACCATGTCCATTATGTACCACGAGGAAACATGAAAGAGAGATGGACTCATGAACCAGCAAAGCCTTTAATAAATATCCACACAAGTGTGGTCGCTGATTGATCAGGGCTGCAAGACAAGGACTCTTGTTTCTCCTGGAAGCCCTGGGCAGGAACAGAAGCAGAGTTTCTAAGCATAAAAACCATGAACAGACACAGAAAGACAATTATCACATGTACTCACTCAAAGGTGGGTTTTAAACATAAAGCAAAGAAAATCAGCCCACAAGTCACAATCCCAGAGAACTTAGACAACAATGAGGACTCTAAGAGAGGCATTCATGGCTCTAATCTACATGGAAAGTAGAAAAAGATCTCCTGAGTAAATTGGGAGCATGGGGACCTTGGGAGAGGGGAGGGGAGCAGAGAAAAATGTATAGCTCAATAAAAATCAATTAAAAAAAGTGAACACCTATTGCCATCTCATAGTTACAATTTTCCATTGGTCAGGATTCAAAGATTAGGGACTTTCCCTGTGTGTTCCGTCATTGTCAACTGACACAGAATGTAAACTTTTTAGTCCAGCCAATCAGATTCCTTTGTTCTTTCTGTTGTCAGGAACAGACACAATGTTTTAGAGAACTAAACATGCATAATGACTACTTCTGTTGCTTAAGGAGCTGGTCAGTTATTGGAGACTTCCTGCTCCACTATAAAGCATAGAGGTAGTTTAACAAGTTGGAGAGCATCTTGTCCAAGCATAGTTACGTTGGTCTAAGAGCCGCCACCACCTCCTGACCACCAACTCCATTGGTCTCTGCCTCTTTATCTCCTTTAGGTGACTCAGCCTGTCTGAGACAGTTTTTCAACAGCCCTTATACCTTGCATATGTTTGGGGAATGTGTTACAGCTCTGCTACAGCTCTCCTCAGGCAAGGGGAAGGCTTCCCCAGCACAAGTGTTACAGCTCTACTGGGAAAGGTATCCTGACCATCAGGAGCCAAGGAATACCACAAAGTCATCCTGCACAACAAACTTCACACAAGAGATTTATGGGGAGGGGAAAACCCAAGATAGTGGTTACCTCTGCTTGGGTGCGAAGCAACAGGGAATTGACTAAGCAAGCTTTATATAGGGTTTAATGCTTTTATATAGGGTTAATAGCTTTATATAGGGGTGGAGGGGAGCTTTCCAGGGTAACCTGAAATTGGTGGAATTTTTGTGACCTGATCTTGGGGAAAGATTATGGATTGGAAGGATTCTGTGGTCTGATCTTGAGGAGAGTTGAGAAATTGGTGGGATTCTGTTTCTTGGTCCTGGTCTTGAGCTTGGGGTCAAGTCAGGGTCAGGCTGTTCTTTCCTTGGCCCTAGTCTCAGGGTCAAGTCAGGGGCAGGGCGTTCTTCCTTATCCCTGGCAGTGGGGTTGTAATCAGACCTTTCTGTCAGGACCTCCGGCTCTCCAGTAATGATATCAAGACTTATTATTAAATGTGAAAGCTTGGCCATAGCTTAGACTTGTTACTAACTAGCTCTTATAACTTAAATTAATCCATTTCTATTAATCTACGTATTACCACATTGCTTGTAGCTTTACCTGTCTTCCAGCATGTCTTGCTTTCTCTGTATCTCCTGGCGACTCTGCCCTTCTTCTTCCCAGAGTTCTCTCTGTCTACTGTCTATACCTCCTGCCTAGCTAATGGCCATTTAGTTTTTTACTAAACCAATCAGAAGGCACCTTAGCAAAGATACATCTTCACAGTGTACAAAAAGATAATTCAACATTTCCCTCCTTTTTGTCTAAATAAAAAGGAAAGTATTTAACTTTAACACAGTAAAATAATATACAATAAGAACAATTTTCAGGTAAGAATTACATTTGCAATGTTCAGTCTATTTGTGTTTAGCAATTTCAGAGAAAATACTCCATTATTTATCCTATCTTGGTGAGTCCAAAGTTCTACATCTCATTTATCTTCTACCATAACTAAGGAAAACTATAATTATGATTATCTATCTATCCTTAAATTCCATCAAAGACCCCAGAAGGATATATTGTCTTAGTAAACAGGAAGTGCATTGCACACAATTTCCAAAACTATAAGAAATGATAGAAACAGTTGACTGCCTGGACAGTCACCCAAGGTTTCTCTTGCATCTCCAGCCTAAAGGACTAGAATATCAGACAGACTTTTCTGTGAAGCAGGTATTTTTGAAGAACTGTCCTACCCTGTCTTGGCAAAGTTCAGCAGTCACTTTCTGTTATGTCCTGCTTATTCAGCTTGGACAGCATAGTGTCAGCAGTTGAGGCAAAGGCAGTTTCTTACCCAAATGCTAGATTTTTGCCACAAAGAAAGCAAACTCCAAATGGAGGTTCTTTGATCCCCATCATCCTTTATTGAAGGAAATTGGTGTTGCCTGGGGTACATGTCTCATGTCATGAAAAGCCTTATGTTATTAAAACACTTTAAATATCACCAGGTGGTGGTGGC